AAGAATGAATAGATGAATGAATGAATGAATGAATGAATGAATGAATGAATGAATAAATGAATGAATGAATGAACGAACGAATTAATTAATGAATTTATGAATGAATGAATTTATGAATGAATGAATGAATGAATGAATGAATGAATGAATGAATGAATGAATGAATGAATGAATGAAGTCTCAGTTTAAATTAATGTTAAGATAGAGAATCGGATTCAGAATTAGTTTTACTGCCAAGTGTGCTTCACACACACACAGTGAATTTTGGCTACAGAAGCTTCCAGTGTACATAAAGTGACAAGTGTCAACACAAAATAAATATGTAAAAAGACGATAAACATTAAACAGAGATGAAGTTAGTCAAGAAATCTGGATGTTGAATTGTATGTACAGATTTGTTATAAATATACAGGTTATAAGGTGCTGTGTACGAATGCGAATGGAGAAAGTATTGCATTGTTTATTAATAAAAGGTGCTAAAGTGCTTTGTACAAGTGCGCATGGGAAAGTATTGCACATATTTACTCCCCAGTAGGGAGATATTTAACTGTTCATGAGGTAGATGGCCTGAGGAAAGAAAATTTTCCTCTGTCTGGTTGTTTTTGTGCTTGGTGCTCTGAAGCGCCGACCAGATGGTAACAGTTCGAACAGGTAGTGTGCTGGGTGCGAGGCGTCCAGAGTGATTCTGCAAGCCCTTTTACTTACTCTGAAAGAGTACAGTTCTTGAAGTCTAGGAAAGGTAGTGCCAGGGATTTGTTCAGCAGTCCGGATAATTCGCTGTAGTCTACAGAGGTCAGTTTTGGCAGCTGAGACAAACCAGACAGTGATTGGAGTGCAGAGGATGGATTTGATGACAGCTAAGTATGCAGAATTCAGCTAGAGTACGCAGAAAATAAATGAACTACTAAACAATAAATGTGAGCTCTTCACAATAAGATAGTCAGGGAAAGTGTAAATGAATATATAAAGAAGCAAACAAACCTATTATTAGTAAAATGATTTAACTAATATAAAATGTTTTCTTATAATAAAGTGATGTGAAGACAATAAACGAATAGGTTTTTCAGTAATTTGTAAACTATGCAACCATGCCAAAAAACAAGCAAAAATATTACATGAATCATATAATAAATAACTGTGGTTCAGACGACAAGGTGGCTCAGTAGTTAGCACTTTTGACTCACAGCAAGAAGATGAACTGAATAAACTAAATTGGCCGTAGTGTGTGTAAATCAGTGTGTAAATCCGCTTTGTAAAACTTATGTTGGATAAGTTGGCAGTTCATTTTATGGTGGCGACCATTGATGAATAAAGGAACCAATGGTGACAAGAGTTCTGAAAAATCATACTTAAGTACAAGTACCATTACTTGCCTAAAAATGTAGTGCAAGAGTAAAAGTATCTGTTGTAAATATATTTGCTCAATTTAAATATATTTTATTTAAGGCATAATTAAAAGTAGACCTTTCAAAAGTATTTAGGAACAATGAGTATTACGCTGTAGAAAGCTAAAGTGTAAACGTAACATTCTATAGTGCATTTAGTTATCGTCCAGCAGGCACACAATGTCATGAGACGTTAATATTAGGTTATATTTAGGCTGTGATGTCAGGTTCAAGTCTAGCAAGCGTCTAAGGTTGATTTTAGGTTTTGTTAGAAAGTGACCAAAATCCAACGTCAAGCCAACATCCTAAATCAGCGTCACATTGACCTCAAATATGGACATTTTTTCGTCAGGTATGGCAACCAAAATCCAACATATGATTGACGTCAAAGTGGTAACATAAACACAATGTCGAGCTGTAACATCATTAGACAATGATATTTGGTTGATTTTAGGTGAGACGTTGGACATTGATGTCGGTCTTACTGTACATTGAGTTTTGACATCAACTCGATTTTCCTTTCCAAACAAAATGCAACGTCTCCAAAACATTGGGATGCAATGTCAATCTGAGTGTTTAATGCCTTTTCAGCCATCATACAGTAAACATTTAGCATCTTCTCATCAGTAACATGCAACCATGCAGTCTCTGGGTGAATGTGTGTAAAGATTTTGGACATCTTTTTGGATGCTTTAAATGATTCCAAACAGTTTGCTGCAAATATAAATCACCCATGTCTTGAGGTAGTTCATTATGATGCAATTTACCTCTTTACTTCTGTGTGCATATATGCTGAGCACTGTACAAGAAAATGCAAAAAGGCACCATACAACTATACTAAATAAATAAAAATAGTAAATAAATAAAATAATTAATTAATTAAATAACTTTGGATATCTGCAAATGTCAACATAAAGTACAGTGGTATGCAGACAATAAATTAGATCTTCACAATAAATATTATAAAGAAAATAATGTGAATGCATAATGTAAACATACAGTTCAGACATAAAAATAACCAAAGTGATTTTTTATATATAAAAAACGGAACTGGATAAGTAAATAAGACTTATGTATATGGTCATTCAAGGTGTGAATTTGAAGTATTTAAATTTTTCCCCTGAACATGCGATATACTGTATGCTCATTCTTGGTTTACTTAGCAAATGTTACAGAGCTTAAATGACTGCAGAGGTTGCTGGAGTTGAAGATCTGCTTAGTCAAAATGTATACAACTTTTCTTGAAAGTGTTAAAGTGCCTATTAACAACTTTAAATGTCATAGTATTTATGGAAATTATAAGTGTTATAACTTGTTGCTCCGCAATTAAATTTCATATTGCTTGAAAAAGGTCCAGTAATTGCTTTTAAATATCATCAAGATATTACAGGATTTAGATAAGCACCACAAATTATTATAATTAAACATGACATTGCTTTTTTTTCTTGTTATTGTTATACCTCATCCATATTCTTATTTTTCTCTTTAACTCTTTGGCTACGTTATTTAGTTTTACTCTTAATTTTATTACACAGGCATGGAAAAAATATTTTTATACATTTAATAGTTTCTTTGGATTTTTAATCCACAATTATTTGTTTAAGTAAAATAAGTATTATAAAATGCTATGTAAAATGTAATTGATACTTTAGTTTATTTTATTGTATTTTATTTTACCGAGTTATTTCGGATCTCCAGATTGCATTTTTGATCTGGTAACTTGTTCTACTCCTACTCGCTGTGTTCGATCTGCAGGTGGACTTACTTTGTATAAGCTGCTCTGTAGATTAAAAACCATAGGAGGTAGGGCTTTTTCTTACTGTGCACCTAAATTATGGAATGCATTACCCACAATTATCAGGAATGCCATTTCTCTGGACTGCTTTTTAAGACACAACTTTTTAGCAAAGCCTTAAATTTGTGATCAGCACTGTCACTTTTATGCTATTTAAGTCCCACTTTATATTAAATGGCCTGAACTACTATGTACTTACATCAAAATATAAATACAAAGCACTTAAAGTGTTGGGTTAGGGCTAGGCAGAACACTTCTGGTGCTTGGTGGTTCTTGAGGTAGGATTTGGGTGGGACAGGTTTGGTGTTACGTACGTTTAAGTGAGGGTTAAAGTGTAAGGGATGGCCAACAGTGTAATTGTATATGTAATTACAAAAATTAATTAAAGATGTAATTACATGCAGGTATTTAATCAAGCAAGAGTACAATATAAAAACCTGTATTCACACAATATGTACTGTATATTTTAACGAATTATAAATTTCAGTGTAAGTAGATACTAATTAAGATCACTAAATATAATGTGGGACCGCAATTTGTAAATTTTTTCTTATGTATTATTCTTTATTGTTTATTATTGCCATGTGACTTCGAGCTTGTTAATAAGATTTTATGCAAGCTTGTCATTCTTTGCAAATTTAATTTGTTGTTGTATATCTTGTAGCACTTTGAGTTTAAGAAAACGTCATTAATAAAATAATTTATTATTATTATTATTATTAATAATAATAATAATAATAATAATAATAATAATAATAATTTAACTTCAACCAATAATTTTACTAAACAAATAATTTCTTTATTCCAAAAAGAACTGATGATAGTTCTTCTAAATTTAAAAGAACGTTTTTTTTTTTTTTTTTTTTTTCTAATTTAGAGTATTTTTGCTTTGCATAAAATAAAAACGGGGCATGTTTTCAAATGTTATATTTATTTTAGACATCACAATACCAATGTTTTACAACGTCCCTTTACTCATGGAATATTTATGTAATAGAGTTTGGTATATTGCGGCCCACAGCCCGCAGTCAATTTAGTTTTTTGGCCCTTCATAAAAACAATAATAATAATAATAAAAAAAAGTTTGGGCACCCCTGATTTTAACCATAGGCCTCAAACTCAGTTCCTGGAGGGCAGCAGGTCTACAGTTTTGCTCCAACCCTAATCAAACACAGCTTATGCAGCTTATCAAGGTGTTCAAGACTCCTCTGATCTCCAAGATTATTTGGATCCACTGTGTTTGACTAAACTGCAGCCCTCCAGGAATTGAGTTTGACCTATTATTTAAACCACATACTTGTTTTGGGTAGACATTTTTATCCAAAGGACTTATTGGGGATCCTTAAGTCTACAATTTTAGGTCCAAAACTGTACCTCCATTGTAACTTCTTTTTTTCTGCCTATTGAATCCAAGGAAAGGAAGGATTTTCAAGTGCTCTCTTTTACTGTAGCTGTATATTTACTGATTTCAGTTTATAGTAATGAGTACACATCGCCATCTGGTGGAAATATATCATATTGTAATAATTTGCAAAGTACAAAGCTATAAAATCTTTGCTTATACCAAAAAATGATGATGAAGAAGAAGTGTCATTGTTACCTACTTTCTGTTTATGGCATCACATCATGGACTGCTCAAAGGGGCCGCTTTATTCTCAGTACCAAACGTCATAACAAAGAGCCCGTAGCTGTACCATTGAGCTGTACATTTCACTGGGTGGCTCTTCACCGTCCATACAGCAAACAAGCCCCGCCTACAACGGGAATGCCCAGGCTCTTTGTAATGACGATGGAGGTTGTAGGCGGGGCGTTCTGTTTTCTGTGGGAGGAGCGACAGGAGCCACTGACACGTACGAATGCCTCAATAATTTGCAGGAAGGTGATACAGTTTCAGGAAAGGATAACATTCAATGCGTTTCCGCTAGTATTTGAACCGCTTTCTTGATGTTCGCTACTCTGCCGAGAAGGTCGCGCTTAAAGGAGGTGTGCGTCGCACCAGCAGTAGGGGTACAATGAGGTTCTCTATGTTGATCAGTCTGTTAAGGCCGATCGGCCCGGTTATTATCGGGATTTCGCTGGGATTTACTCTGAGTTTGCTGAGTGTGAGCTGGGTTGAAGAGAGCTGTGATGTTAATGCCGTAGGAGACGAAGGAATCGCTTTAAACCAGGATGGAAGTCTGAAAGGAGCCCGAAGACCAAACTCTATTTCCACTGGGAATGATGGTGAGGAGGAGGAGAAGGAGGATTTCCCGCCGAGAATAATCCCGTATAAACCAGTCAAACAGACTCAGCCCAAGAAACTTTTCAGGTAGAGTATAATAAAACCCAAGGAATGACTCCATTCCGTTGATGTAACAGTTTTAGAGGTGCTTGATGTTTAGTTTTAAAACACTGTAGTGTACCTTACGTGCAGTGGTCGAAGATGAGGATGGGTTATCAAAACAACAATAGTATAAAGTACAACTATTTACATAAGAAACTAGAGTGTATCTTGTTCTAAGCAAAAGGTATGCCGAAATGTCATGGCAATAGTGTGTATAACAAAAATAAATGAATAATTTCCTTTAGTGGCATATTGAGAACATGTGAGCAATTCCAGCGTTCTGGATGTGACATGTTCAGTTAAAACTCAAAACATAAATACACAGAGAAGGTATATGTTAGCATTAGATTGAAACATCTCTTTATATTTTCCAAAAGAACTAACCACAGAGTTATAGGATCAGAAAAATGTTTTTCTGTAAACTTTTTTTTTTTTAATATTTTAAATGAGGAAAATAAACATGCCTTATGGATGTGACAAAAAAAAATAGCGAGTTTACAGTGTACAACATACTTTATAGAAATTCTGTGAATTAAACCGCACAACCCAAAAGAAACAATACTAATCAAAAAGATAAGAGTTGCTCTCTGTAGAAAAAAAAAAAAAAGATTGATTTTATTTTACTTTTTTGTGGGTAAAGCTTTGTTATGGATGTGACATTTCTCCGTTATGGACGTGACAGATATGAAATTTCCGCTTGTTTGGCAAATCAAATATAATTGTTTGAAAACATTACAGAGACATTTTAAGTATTTTTACAGGACTGTAAAATACAAGTCAATATAAAAAAAACCTAGAAAGGGTTTCGTTATTTTGTTGAAAATTTTTTGCATGGAATTGCTTGTGTATCATTTGATGTTCACATATTAAACGATTTATACAAGCTTCTTTTTGTTCTCTGCTTGTGAGAGAATATGGCTAAGTATTCTTTAGTAAGTTCAAGTTTCTATCATTAACGCGGACTAGCCAAGTGAAACCCTTACTAAGCAGGAAAGGTTTTGAAATGGCTATCCGTCCTTTATTTCCATGCGATTAGTAGATCATTGTAATTTTTTATTTATTTGCCTACCCTCATCTTTTATTTCTAGTCTTCAAATGGTCCAAAATTTGGCCGCCCGTTTGCTCACAAGTAGTCACAAATATGACCATATCACACCAATATTGCGATCACTACATTGGTTGCCGGTTCTTTTCTGAATAGATTATAAAATGTTACTCTTCGTTTATAAAACTTTGTATAACCTAGCGCCACCGCATGTTTCCGATCTGATCACTATTAAGGCCCTAAATCGATCGCTTTGATCAAATAGACTCGACTCCACTGCCATTTATTGCAAATACCTCGAGCTCATCTTAAATGCAGGGGTGATAGAGCCTTTGCAGTTGTGGATCTAAAACTATGGAATAAGTTACTATTAAAAAGCAGAGTAGCACATACTCTATCTATTTCTAAAGATTCTTCTTTTTTTTGAGTGCATTTAACTTTCCCTATTGGTTGTTCCAGGTTATATTACATTGATTCTTTCTCGGGAATTTGTACTGTTGTTACTATTGTTTTATATTGTTGTTTTTATTTTAGTGTATTTGCTGTTTTTATCTGCAACTGCTACTGTACAGCACCTTGGTCGACCAACAGTTGTAATTAACTGTGCTCTAGAAATAAACTTTGATTTGATTTAATTTCTCCAGTCTTTGATTAAAAAAACATAATTCAATGCAACATATCCTGTTGTTTTGTTTACTTGTGCTGGAACAAAATTATTTTATAAAGTTAATCTTTGGTTAAGCCTGGTTTTTACTTCTGCGTCAAGTGAACGGCGTGACCCACAGCGCATGTAACGCGCGTAGCTGTGCATTTATACTTCTGCACTCTGTCTCTGTTGTTCTGCAATAATACTTCCAAAACGCTAGTTGGCAGTGAGGTGTTTAAGTTCCTCTGTGTCGAGTTTCTTTGCTGGTGTTTTGTTTTTTCTGAACATTTCCTTAATGTACTAGTGGCTCACACTTGCTCATTTTGTGGCAAGAACCGGCAGACGTGCAACTACTTTAATCACAAGGTAACCACAAAACAAAACTTTCCATTCGGAACTCCTTCACGGAACTCCACATTTGTAAACAAAGGCCATCGGGCTCTCGGCCTTGCCCAGACTCATCAGCGCTACCAAGCCGACCAATCACAGAGCTTGTGCTACGCGTTGTTGCGACATGTAGTTACTTTTTTTGAGAGGTGCGCATCAGCGACGGCCACGGCGTAGGGCTATGCGTCAGTAGCATACGAATGTGCTTGACGCAGAAGTATAAATCAGCCTGCATCAAATGAAACTTTTACTAGCAAAACATTGTTAGTCATAAAATGATCAAGCAAATGCAAGTTCATGCAGAATCAAAAACCTTTTTGTTTAGGTAATCTTTAATCAAATCTAACCATTTTCTTCTGCTCTGGAATGGCAGACAGTCTCTGATGATGTCAGTTTGATGGTTTGTTAGAAATATGCTTAGTCACATTCCTTCAACCATTAGTTTGCTGTGAGTGGAAGATGAGAGCTCAGTATTCCATTTCAGTGAAAATAAATAAAAGTCTGCATTAACTTACTGATAAAAAAATGCAACAACATTGATAAATGCATAATATATATTAACATAATTTCTACAAGATCCAGAGTACAACAAAGTCAAGCTTAAACCTGAAGTTTATTTTCATATCATGACAGAGATAATACAGAAAATACCACCCTTTGTTACTGTGCTGAGCTTTGAGTTTGGTTTGTACTTTCAGTGACTCAAACATCTACTCTTCTGTTAAATCAAATATTTACATTTGCTGTTGAAAGAATTATACGACAGGGCTCTCAATGACTCAGTGGCATTTCACAAACACTAAGAGGTGTTTAAATATTGTCTCATGGGAATTGGATAAAAAACAGGCCTGGTGGGTTTATACTGATAACTGTGTTCCCCCACCCCCCACAGTCTCCTCCTCTTGATGCGTCCTACTGGGAGGACTGTAATCCTTAAGAGGGTCTCCCATGGTGCTCATTTCCTCTTTTCTGTTATCACTTACTATACTCGGAGGTAAATTAGGAGGGTTGAAGACAGAGGTGTTGTTAAATAGTCCCATAACATGAAAGGATCAGTTGTTTTTGGTTATCAAGTTAGGTTCATGACATGTTGACCTTACACTAACCTCTTCTTTTACTTGTTCTCAAGACGCAACCTGATAATTGACTGCCAAAATGATCCCAAACTCCTGTTTTCTTGCTCACATACAGACGTGTCATTTTCTGACTACAGTTTTTGGATCGTTTCTTAAATTGTAACTTAAAATCTCAGTTTTGACTATTCAAAAGTTTAGGGTTGGTAAGTATAAAAAAAAAAAAAACAAAAAAAAAAACAAAGAAGAAAAATTCTCACCAAGCCTCAATTTGGTTAAAAAAAAAAAAAAAAAAAATACACCCAATAGTCAGTTAAAGTCACTTTTAAACTTGGTCAAATTTAGCGTCAAATTATTTATTGCTGAACCCTGTTGCCAAAGTAGATATCAAAGTCAAAATGCTATAAGTGTAAATAATTGTATAAGTGTAAATAAATGGACAAACACCTGTGAATCAAGCTCCAGACAATTTTGGTGAACATTTTTTTTTTAAATGTTATTTTTTTGTAATTTTGAGGGAATTTTCATTGCATCTTAAAAATGTTAAGCTCAAAATATGCCCAAATTCCTTGTTTTAAACTATATATCCAAAACTTATAATTTCTTTCTTTTTATTACCAGGTCCTTTTCTGATGTGGAAACACTTTCATGTAATTCTGTGGTCAAACAATGCAATAAAAGCGTCTTGAGTTGCGCAGTCATGATAAGTAACAAATGAAAATGATTTCTCTGTTTCCACAGAGCGAAATACATCAGCACAGAGCTGGGAATCCGAGAGCGTCTTTTTGTGGGAATAATAACCTCCAAAAACACTATCAACACCCTGGGTGTAGCTGTCAACCGCACCATTGGCCATCATCTGGACAATGTCGTGTTCTTCACTGGCACCCGAAACCGCAAGATACCCCATGGGATGAATGTGGTCACACATGGTGATGAACGGCTTATCTGGAACATGTTCCAGACCATCAAGTACATTCTAGAACATTACATCACTGAGTACGACTGGTTCTACCTCGCCCAGGATGACACGTATACACAGGCGGACCGCATCAAGGCTCTTGTGGGGCACTTGAGCATGGACCGGGTGCTGTATATGGGTAGTCCGGAGGAGTTCATTGGAGGTGAGATGCAGGGACGGTATTGCTATGGGGGGTTTGGATACCTGCTGTCCCGCAGTCTACTGCTGAAGCTCCAGCCCTTCCTGGAAAACTGCAGGAACGATATTCTCAGCGCCAGACATGACGAGTGGCTTGGCCGATGCATCATCGATTATGCTAATACCAACTGCGTGGAAGAATTTGAGGTGAGATTTGAAACTTTGCAGATATGTAAATAGTTTACCTCTGCTACTAGGAAAAATTAAATGTTGATAATCCCTAAAATCTGTGTTAACCATTTATAGTGTCTTTGTAACTTACTAGTAATATGTATGGTGCATCTGGAAAGTATTCGTACCGCTTCACTTTGTCCACATTTGTTTATGTTACAGCCTTATTCCTAAATGGATTAAATTCATTGTTTTTATCTATTCTACACACACTATCCCATAATGACAATTAATTAAAAAAATTATTAAAAATAAAAAACCTGAAAAATCACATGTACATAAGTATTCACAGCCTGTGCCATGAAGCTCTAAATTGAGCTCAGGTACATTCTGTTTCCACTGATCATTCTTGAAATTTTTTAGCAGCTTCATTGGCGTTCCCCTGTGGTAAATTCAGTTGATTTGACATGATTTGAAAAGGCATACACCTGTCTATATAAGGTCCAAGGGTTGACAGTGCATGAAAGCGCAAACCACGCATGAAGACAAAGGAATTGTCTGTAGACCTCAGAGATAGGATTGTCTCGAGGCATAAAGCTGAAGAAGGTTATAGAAAAATGTCTGCTGCTCTGAAAGTTCCAATGAGCACAGTGGCCTCCATCATCAATAACCCGATGGTCACGCTGTGTGAGCTCAAGCGTTCTTCAGTGGAGAGAGGAGAACCTTACTGAAGGACAACCATCTGTGCAGCAATCCACCAATAAGGCCTGTTTGGTAGAGTGGCCAGACGGAAGCCACTCCCAACCTGGAATTTGCCAAATTGCATCTAAAGGACTCTCAAACCATAAGAAACAAAATTCAATGCAGCAATGTACAGAGACATCCTGAATGAAAACCGGTTTCAGAGTGCTCTTGATCTCAGATTAGGGTGACGGTTCATCTTCCAGCATGACAATGACCCAAAGCACACCGTCAAAATATCAGTGGAGTGGCTTTACAACAACTCGATGAATGTACTTGAGTGGCCTAGCCAGAGCCCAAAACTAAATCCTATTGCTTCCCATCCAACCTGATAGAGCTTGAGAGGTACTGCAAAGAGGAATGGGCAAAAATTCCCAAAGACAGGTGTGCCAAACTTCTGACATTATGTTTAAAAAGATTTAAGGCTGAAATTTCTGTCAACAGTGCATCAAAGTATTTAGCAAAGGCTGTGAATACTTATGCACATGTGATTTTTCAGTTTTTTTTTTTTTAATTTTAATAAATTTGCAAATATTTCAAAAAATCATTTTTTTTTCACATTGTCATTATGGGGTATTGTGTGTAGAATTTTGAGGAAATAAAAACATTTAATCCATTTTGAAATAAGGCTGTAACAAAAAAAAAAAAAAAATGAATGTGGAAAAAGTGAAGCGCTATGAATACTTTCCGGATACACTGTATAATTATATGCAACTAATCCTAAACCCATCCTAGCTCTAATTTTTGGTGTTAGTGCAACTTCAGAAATTTGACCTTGCATAAATCATGAAACTGTGTCAAGATGATGTGTGTTAAGAAACAGTTAACATGCTTTGACATGTTAAGCTCATGTGGGCGACATAAGTTCAAGTCCATCTTGCATCATGTTCGATCCTGTTCTCTTGGCAGTTCCTGTATTGTCATAACTTTCAAATTACTATGAGTGCCAAAGAGGCTTATATATATATATATATATATATATATATATATATATATATATATATATATATTTAAATATTTAATTTAAATTTTTTTTTTAAGACCTTCCTTGTCTATGAAAACCTGTAGAATGATTTTTTATTTAAATGTTTTGGGATGTTTGTCATGAAAAAAAAAAAAATCTAAAGGATGTGACGCTTGAACTAGAGGTCATCACAGTTCCATTTGAATCCAAAAACGAGAAAGGTTACATGTATCATCACTCATGAAAATCGTCCAAAATCATCCAAATCAAACAGTAGGAGAAGTACCCAGATGACCTACTACTTCTGACGAGATTCTGAAGCGTGCATCCAATGAATGCTATGTTATCCCATGACGCAACGCTAGAGAACTCATGAATAGGAGTGAAGTGTATGTAGTGTAATTTAAATCATACTACTTGCAATCATACCACATACTTTTTTTGTCATTGTCATGTCATGTATAATATTAAAATTTAAATGTAGTACCTACTTGACTACTTGATTTTGGATGCCTCCTCATTGACATTTCAGCCTTTCTGCACATACTTGCAGTGTATGTTAAATGCATTTTTGAGAAATGCATGTAAAAAGAACAAGCTTTGCCATCTCAGATACAAAAAACACACACACACGCTATATAAGAACTTTAAATTGGTGTATTTAAATCATGTTCAGTTTCTTTTGCATTACATGTGCATGATTGCAAGCACAAGCAAAAGGTGGTTGACAACAGTTCTCTACCGCACAGCAGTCTTGCTAATAACAAAGCTTACTAAATTCTATGTTGAATACGTTTACGTTCACCTATAATCAAGCTACAACTATTGAGCTTCAGCCTTCCTGTCTTTGTCCAAAAATACATGACACTTGGCGTAATTAAATAAATTAACAGGATTAAAAGCACTGTGCATGTCACCTCTGATTTTCAGTGCACGCACACAATGCTGAGGTCAGTTAATGTGTTTACATGCTGGATGAAGTCAAGCTTACAATCGCATTATCCTGCACTGTTAGTCAGACTTCACAAAAAGCTGGTATGATTTCACTCAGATTTAAGGATTCATAGCATCAATTTTGTACACATTACTTTATGCGCATTTGCCAATAATAAAATTATATGGCTGGTGTTTAGCGGGAATCCACAAGTTAAGAAGCCGCAGATGAATCTAATTCCATAATAAGTATTATCATTGTTTTAGTTCCACACATAATTATGTTTGGTAGCGAAATGTCTGTTGAGATACTTGGCATTGGCATTACTTGAAATGCTTGTGTGTAGAAAAAAGAAATACTTGGCATATTTTAAGCCCACATTATTTGAATGAGCTTTCAGCATCTGTAATTATCATCTCTGTGGCCTTGATTGAAATAGAGTTAGTTTGGTAAACCTGCAGTGTTTGATGACAGAAATCTTTATTCTAGTAGTGTGTCTTGGGAGAAGGACCCAACAGGGCCTTATTCTTGTTGAAACTAAATATCAAGCCCTTTCCACTCCCCAGCAAACTTAGGCTACAACCGAAGACAAGATTCAGATTTCTTCTTTGAAATATGCTGCTGTTCTCAGCAGAAGAGAAGGTCTCCAGTCTACAGCTTTGGTCTGTCAGTCAGTGCAACAACTGAGGTTTCACCTTTCTTCAGGACTTTACTCTCACTGCCAGTAACTGCTGGAATTAAATTCTAGGCTAGAGACGTTCTAGACTACATCTACATGACAGCAATAAGCAAAAATGAAAAAGTTTTACCCTCTGTTAAAACAAAAAAAAATCGCAATTACACAACAAGGATTTCATATGTAAAAGCTGTATTGTGTGTCAGGCAAGTAATTAGCACTGTCACCTTGTTAGTAAACAGTACCTGTAAGGAAGTGATGACATCCTGTCGACAGCTTGGCGCTGGTGTGTATGTAGAATTAGGCATGTGTGAATGTAAAGTTAATCCACACTTTGCTGATGGATTGTTAGAAAACTTTTTAGCAACAAAAAACACTATATACTCCATTTTTGTATGTTTGTTAGTGCTTGGCGTTAATCTGCACTCCACTAAACATGCACCATGCACATGCATTACATCATCCAGTCAGCACGATTTTGGATAAATCTGATATTGTGATATTTTATTTTTCTCTCATTTTTCTGTGGAGTCCAACAGTATTCAGCTACAATAATTGAACAATCAGAATGCAAAAAATGCTTTTCTTACTTTATTTTGTCACATTTCAAGTCCAAATGTCATAAAAGTCTTAGACCTAGTAGGTTTCACCGTCAGAAGAAGTGAAAATTAAAAGTTTTTCTTAAAATAATTTTGGTTTTGCTTGGAAATGTAGTTATTTGTACTAAAAACAAGGCAAAAATTCCAGACAAAAAGTAAGAAACTTATTTTTATTTATTTATTTTTATTTATTTTTTTTAGCATAAATCCATATAAATTCCTTACAAATACAGTAATTAAATAAGATTCGGTAGCTTCTGGTCAACTGTATTTCAGGCTCAACATTGCAAATCTTTGCTATGTGACTTTTGCGTATGTGCACGTTGCAAATTGGATGATGAAATGATATATTATGCAGCCCTAACATCATAGTTTTTAAAGACGCTCATTTTCAAAAACTTATACCTGTTTTCAGATACAGTTTCATTCCAAGAATGCTATTGCCATGTGAAGGAACAGGCACAGTGGATTAAAATTTCACATTTTAGGCTGAAAACATTGTCGTGTAAACAGACCCCTAGTTGCTCTTTCTACCATCTTCAAGTAAAATACAATATTTAACTGGAAATGATGAGCCACCGTGGCTTTTCTCACCTGAAATAACCATTACACTTTAAAGGTTGTCTTTTATTTACTTCTGTAAACGTAGAATCTCTAAGCTCCACTTTCAGTTCTCTTGTATTTCTCTCAGGGTTTGAGCAGTGCAAGTCAGTTTTGTATCCACTGATCATTGTTTGCCCTGAGACTGTCTGGGAATTCGGCAAAGCTCTCTAAGAGAGAGCAAGATTTCTTGTCTGAAATGTAAACAAGCTTTTATAAAAATAACATTGATAACGAAGTTCCAAAGCATGACACATTCTCAAAGGCTTGTCTTTTGCTGTGAGTGTTTCTCATCTGTTGTCATTATCAGTTGTTGTTTTCTAGTAGAAGTGTCTACGTCTAGTGTGTAAATGATTTTCTCCAGTCAGAAGAGAAAATTAGGGTATAGTCCCACCCATAAAGTAAAATTTCCTTTAATCTACCTTTGACATTCGAAGATGTAGGTGATATTTTTCAGCAGTAAAACTTTTTTTTTTTTTTTCTGCTGAAACCATGTAGATAACCACACTGTAATCTAAACAT